AAACTATATATTATTAAATAGATGCAATCAATGACTGGGAATCAATATATGAACTTCTGTTTAATGCAATGTTTTCCTAATTTTACCTTTGGCAATAGATAAAGTTTTCAATCACTGAAAAGTTATCTCAGCACTTGATAAAATGTTTGCTTTTTGACAAATTAAAAAACACACAGGAGAAAGTGCTGGTAGGGGACAGATGGGAAGACCATCAAAATGCCTCCCTGGTCCTAGCTACACTTTGATTTAATTGAGTGCACATAACCAAAAAAGTCATACATTTTATTCATTGGCCTCAAATTTTAATATTAAAATTGGCTGAGTTTAAGTAAGAATATTTTCTTACCATATTTTATTTGAATATGATTTATTTTTACTAGATATAATAATTCACATTCATTTTTAAAAAAATTTATTGATTGATTTAGACAGAGAAGCGGGGAGAGAGAGAAAGAAGGTGAGAGAAAGAGAAAAACAAGAAAGAGAGAAACATCTATTTGTTGTTCTACTTACCTATGTATTCATTGGTTGTTCTTGTATGTACCCTGACCTGGGATATCAGGATTATGCTCCATACAGCTGAGCTACCTGGCCAGGGCTCATCTAGTTTTAAAAGATATAATTGTAAAACACATGTGAAGCCAAAAATATTTCTTACCTTTTTAACCTTAATATAATTTCAAAGCCCTAATCAGATGCCACTTTACCATTTAGTTACTTGTTTTTTTCTTTTATCTATTGAACTAAATTCTAAACTCTTAAAAGAAATGGGTTCAGCATTATACTATTTTTTTCAACTAGCCTCTCACACATTTTAGCATTTAATAAGGATTTTACAAAGTTAATAAAGCAATTAATCATTAACTTATATAAAATCTTTTCAATAAAATATATTTGTTGATATAATATACTGAATAATTATAAGTTCCTATATAATAAAGAGCTAATATGCAAATGGTTATCACACCATCACGCTGTCACGCTATAATGGCTCAGACACTCATGAAAGAGGAACGGGGACCAGCCAGGCTACAGCCCGGGAGAGGGACAAGCCGCCCCCCCTGCGGTCCCGGGTGCCTGTGGCTACAGCCGCACCTGCAGCCCGGGAGAGAGACAGCCGCCCGCCCAGTGGTCCCGGGTGCCTGTGGCTACAGCCAGCCCAGGCAAAGCGGGCCTGGGTCCTGGGTATCTAAGAAGGTTTGCCACTGATTCGTGCACCAGTGGGGTCCCTAGGCCTGGCCTGCGGGGATTAGGCTGAAATGGGCTCTCCAACATCCCCTGGAGGGGTCCTGGATTAGAGAGGGTGCAGGCCAGGCTGGGGGAGACCCCCCCATGCATGAATTTCATGCACTGGGCCTCTAGTATAATTATAGTAAGTTATAATTTGAATTATAGTATATAATGCAAAACAATACTTTTTATTAAAATCATACTTTTCTTAGTATATTATTCCTGTACTGAATAGACTAAAGTACCAATATTTTCTATGAAAAATAAATTTTGAAATATATCACACAACTGAGGCATTCATATAAAGTAAGTATTAAAGAGTGGCTATAAATGTTGCATCCTCTGGTAATTATAATTTTAATTCTAATAAACATATAAGCATTGTATACTTGATTTGTTTTTAATTGCTATCATATAAATAATGTAGTTGATTATCAAGTGAATGCGAGATATGCATTTTCAAATATACAAAAGGTAGTAAATAAATTTTCTAGGATACTATACACTGAAAAGTAGTATTGAATGGGTATAGTGAAACAGGCAAAAGCTGATCTGAATGTTTACATTCCTCTCAAGAATATGATCACTTAAAAATATATTTTCTTATAACCCATATGTATGAAGTGATTAGTATCAGTAATAATTATATACTAAACATAGTAATTAAAAATAAAAATAGATTTATTAATAATAGCATTCATAAATTTTTAGAGTTCTGGCCAGTGTTGTATAATAGGACTTACAAACTCAAATGCCTAATGCCTATGAGGAGCAGGCAGGTCATAAAAATTAAACAATTAATTGTCTAAAAGATAAATTTCTGGTCACTAAGAAGTTAAACACTTCAGAAATACTAATGAAACTTCAGGGTAACAAATACATCTAGAGCAAAAATAAAAATAAATGGATTGATTACTAAGGAATATTTTTTGTTTAAAACATAATGAAACTATTATATTAGACACAGATAAGCAATATCATTTGGGAGATATGTAGATCAAATTAGGTTCAATATAATGGGGAGGGGGAACAAGGGAAGCAAATGGAAAGTGCTTGCCATGAGCTATGGGACTCAGGACTCTAACTCTGAAGGAGAGATCCAGGGAATGGCCAGGGTGACCGAGGGAGGAGGCGCCAGTATGCACCTAGAATAGAGGGCAATTAGTCCATCCCACTGGAGCGGTTCATTGACAAGAAACGATTTCTTCAAGGAGATGGAATTGGTTCACTCCTTTTTTTTGTGCTTGAGAATCTTGAGAGAAAATTTGATGATTGACAAAGTGTTTGGAGCCGAATTAATAATACGGGCACATAGAAAACCAAGCAAATAATAGCAGGGAAGTCATAAACCGTAGCATAGTTAACTTTGATAATATTAAAATTAATTATTGTCAAAACAAAGCCACATATTTGTGAAAGTCATTCATAATATATTATTGAAAATGACTGCTATACAAATTAGATAATTATATGTTTAGAAACAACAATAACTACCTAAAAGAACACTGTCACACATGAGCTGGCAATTTATGAAATTAACTGAGTGACAGAAATATAAGGGAAAAATGGCTTTAGCTCACTAATAGATTTTTCAAAAAAAATCCAGAGGGATTTATTTAGAGGTAAAATTCTGGCAATAACATGGTGCTTTTTCAGCCCCAGTTTTTAACACTATTTTGTCAAACAACAACAAACATAGCAAGTCAAATAAGACCCATTGTCTGTGCTTTGATGTTTGACCAGAGAGACTTGAAGAGTAGGTGTTTCTGTTTCATATAAACTATTATCAACCTATATTTATTCTTAGAGTTATATATTTCCCACAATAGGAATTCCCTACATTATTGGAAAATTATAGGAAGTATTAATACTACCTAGATCTGGTAATTTTATTGATAAAATTAGATCTAATTAATAGCAAAATAATTAGTAAATATACCTACTAAATATGAAACATCTTTCCTCTGTCCCAATAAAGATTCAGTATATCAGTCATTTCCAGATCAAGAAAAGGGAGAACTGTGAATCTAACTTCATTATTGGATTGAAAAATGGTAGTCAAATTAACAGTTTTCAAAATGGAGATTAAAAATTCTATCTAATATCTGGTAAAATATTATTTTATCAAAGCAATTATAGACATAAACTTGTAGGCAGCTTGGTTTTCTGTGGTATGTTCAGTATTTAAAGCATGGCAAAACCAAACAGGCAAAGGATGTAACTGTCAATTTCTCCATTTCTGACTTGACATCATTTCTTCTTTATCAACCAAATATTATATATGTAGTCATTATAGGCCTCCTTAGAATCTGTTTACTTATTTTCACTTATCCCTCTAGTGATTATAGAATTAAGGGATTATAAGAGGTATTAATAGATATATAATCCATTTTTTCTGACTACCATGGTTCTTCCTCAAATATTTGATTCATTCTGAAAGAGCTCTAGCAGTGGGGGAAGGAATTACTTTCTTAGGTAAAAACTAAGACTTTCTAAACTAAAACTAAAAACTTTCTGTTTTCTGAGACATTCTACGATTAGAAAAAAACACACAAATAATTCTTAAATGCCCAATATGTTTTCTTTTTTGCATTACATTAAATCTTCAATATGTGTTAGCTATTGGTCATAAAAGTATTAAAAATAGTCTTAGTTTTCAAAAATTTTACTATACAGTAACATAACAGAACACAAAAGTGCCTCTTTATGATTTAGTAGGAATATTCTATTTAAAGGTCTTGGTAACAGACTGTTTGATGTTAAATTTCTGTATAAATTTCACCTAGGAATTACTCTGCGCATGACATTTTTCTCCTTAAAGAATAAGTAATAAAAGAAAAACAAAAGGATAATTATTTCCTCAGAAAATGAATAAGAAGTGATCTCCCTGTGAAATTTCTATCATTTTGATTAGGTTTTATTCTCCAGGCCAAACCAGGGCAAGTTTTCATGTCATTCTTTCAATAATTACAAATAATTATTATGCACAATTCTCCATCTCTTCCTTCTTTCCTATGTGTGAGGATGGTCTATGTTCTATTTTCTGGACAATCCAATAATTAGTAAAATTTCATATTCCTTAAGATTTCTTGAGTTCAGTCTACATGTCACTAGTTCTTCCAAGATTTACTCAAATACAATGACTTTGCAACTTCTCAATAAAAGGATCAATTAAAAAACTTCTCTAGTTTATTGACACATACTTTAAATGTTACCCAAGTTATATTCCATGAATTGTCTAATCATGAAGAAAAAAATCGGAACTATTATCTCTCATTCTGAAAACTACTATTGATGGAGGAAGAGTGCTTCAGATATTTTTCTTCATCTACATAACAATACTGACAGAATTACTCTGCAAATTCACTGGTTGATTCCATAGTAAAGAACTGTAGAAACAAAGTTAATCATTCACAATTATATTTATATTTTATATTCCAAATGTGTCTCATATCCTATTGATGGGTAGGTACCAGTGGCTCAATAAACACTTGTCCATTTTTAAATGGTCAAAATAGATTTTCACAATTTATACTAATGCTCATTCATAGTTCCAAATCACATATAATAACATAGCTAACTGCTTTTCCCTGAGTAAATCATGTTTTAGCTTTAAATATGTAAACATTTTCTATTATAAGTGAAATCAGAACAGCTTCTAAGAATTACATAAAATGAAATTTATTTTTATAAATACTAGTTTATTTCATAAAAATACAAAAATATAAATATACATTTATAAAAATATGCATAAATTAACACCAATACATTCTTCAACTAAATAAATATGTCAGTAATAGTCATTCCTATTTCTTTAGGGATATGTTTTTCCATTTTAATTTACAAAGCAGTTGCACAATGATTCATTTAATAGTAAAGGTGACTTTAAGTCGGTTAAGAAAACATTTATAAAGTTATTATATCTAAGGAAAGGCACAAAAAGCCTTTATATATTTTTGTTGATTATTGATGTGATATACTTTCCTTCGTAGATTGTTAGGCAAAGAGGGTGAACTGGTTATTATATTATTACTTTAAAAAAAATCTATGTCATTCATATTCATTCACAGAAACTTACTGATTAAGCAAACCCTTACTAAGACAACACCTACGTATTGTTTGTAATTTTGATTTTTTTTAAATGTTCCTTCAAGGAAGAGAATACAGGCCACTCAATCCAGTAACACAGAGTACTTCCACTAACATGGGTCAAGTCATACAATACTCTATTCTCGGTCACTCTCATCACCCCCATACATATCGGCCAGTTTTTTAAAGCGAGGTCCCCAGTCGCTGAGGTAATCATAATCTTGGTTACAATCTGCCGTGAGCGATTCTAAAGAGCTGAGTGAGTCTGCTATGGAGTCATTCCCTTCATAGGCGTACGTAGCCAGTGAATCGTAAGGAGGTGCGCTGGGGTCTGAGTCATTTTCTTTTAATCTTCGATGGATAAAATCTTGTACATCAATATTTTCCCACAGAGGCACAGTCCTCCTGATCTGAAAAATCGCTTCTGGCATTACATCCCTTCTGAGTTTACTGTCTTCTCTTGCTTCTGGGTTCCTTAACGTGCCAATATCGAAAGCTTGAGTGTCTTCTTCCCCGCCGCCTTCGTCATTGTAGGTCACGATGTTGTCCCGGACATCGTCCTTTGAAATGATCAGAGGTTCCTTTTTCCGCTGCCTCTTCAATGCAGCAAACAGCACAACTAAAACTATTTAATGAGAGGGAGAGAGAGAGAGAGCGAGAGAGAGAGAGAGAGAGAGAGAGAGAGAGAGAGAGAATATATATAGTGAGATCCATAATTCAGATTTAAATTAAATATAGCATACTTCTGTGAATGACGTTTGTGTGGTGTGTGAAGTGCTAAGATTGGATTAAAAAAATAAGTACCATAGGCAAATATAGGGTCTTTGGGCCAATGACTAGATACACTGAAATGATAAAGAAGTAAATATTATAGTTTCATTAATCTACTTTCAATATTCACTCTTCTATGGAGCCCTGATATTGAAAAAGCTTTATTCAATTACAGCTAATGCATTTATCCAACTGTAAATATTTAATATTTCATTCCTCCAAAATGATAGTGTGTTTAAATATACTAAAAATTTAAAGCTACAGTAATTATTATGCCAAGAAAAACTGAACACCAATTTAATATTTTCTTAATAACTCAAGGGAATATATGTAAAACATTATTCATATATGCTCATATATGCATATATGTGCATTCTATACATCTGTTACATGTCTATATAATACAGAGGTATATGTATGCATAAATATATACAGCATATATATAACATATAACAGATATACAACATATATATACACATAAATATGGATATGCTACCGATCTCATTCCTTCCCATAGTTCATATATGTTTTTTTAAACTCCTTTATTGATCTGGTTTTGAAAGCCTGCTTAAGATCTGAAATATAACACATTATTGTATTTTATATTTACAATATAAAATACAAACACATTTTAAGCTTATACTCATCTTACAAGATGTCTCAGATAATATCTGGTTACTGAGGACTTCCTTGACTTTCACAGTTGCAGTCAAGCTTTTTGGTGAAAATGTTAATTGTACTACTTGTAATCTCTGCATTGTTTTTGTTTATTACCTATATCATTACCTATGCATTTACCTATATATACCTATAGTATCAAGTTAACTGTAAATATTCCCACATATGTTATACTTTCTTATTTTTTATTATATTACTTAATTTAATATATACTTGTTTTAATGAACAAATGTAAAATAAATACATTATGTAATTAAAATACATTTAAAAAACAAGAAAAAACATATTGTTTGCAAATATAAATTTTCTATTGAAAATGGACCACATCGCTTATTTTATACATAATGAAAAATTAAGAAAAATAAAAATTTCCCAAAAGCACATTTACAAATTGCCTGAAAAAATAACAAATGAGTCATTTACTTTAGGGCAGCTAAATGTTTTGTCAATACTATTCATGTGTCACTGAAAAACAAGGAAATTTTGCCTCAAAATAGTTTATTATTATTTTTTCTCAATCTTTTTTTCAAGATTGTACAAAGGGCACTCATTTACATTGAGATCATTCTTCACATTGGCTCTTGAGGCCTTTATAACTCCTTAAAAACCTGAGCAATGCTATCGTCATATTAGCCAACACACATTCCGCAGCTCCTACTAATTGGGAGAAAGAATTTTTTTTTAAAATCATTAGAAGTATCTTTAGTTAACCTCCACAGAATGGGCTTTAAGTGCTCAGCTACATCCGGAATCATCTTGGAGACTGTTCAGTAAAAATGAGACATAACTGTACTCTAGTGAACTGTGCAGTAGGAAAAAAGGTTCTTTCTAAACTTAATATTCAATGCATTAATTTATAATTTTCTACTTTTTATAAATAAAAGCACAACGATATAGTCAAATTATTTGAAAGGTCTATTAGCTAATGTAATGTTTGCTGATTCTCAACAATGCTCCTTGGGACCTATTCTGAGTGTTTTGTCCTCTGCCAGGTCACAAGTATCTGCTTTTCGCCCTAGACTGAGGCTACTAAGCTGGGGTATGTGGATGGAATGCAGGGAAGCTAAGATTAGGAACAGAAAAAATGTATCATTATTTTCACTAAACTATAACTGGAATTTAGCATTTCTTTCTATTATGAATTTTAGCATAATCTATAGTGATACTAACAGTATCTGTGACTATTAAATCAGTAGAAATAACTTATTTTATATTGCATTATATTTACAACATATCTCAAATGATCATTAGACTTGTACCACAAGGCAATATAACAATAATCAAGTACATTTTGCTGTTTTTTGTTCAATTGACAAATATATGTGTTTTGTCTTATATTTTCCATTTCTATAAATTTAAATTATTATTCTAAATAGATCTATAAGCTTTACCTGACTGCCAAAGGTGTCCTTGGAACTAAAAAGATTAAAACAAACAAACAAACAAACTGGCTTTAGATGTTTATCCCCTACTTAGCCTTGCAACATGGATATAAACTAAGAAATGCCTTTCTTCCAACTGTAACAGGGTATGTCTAAAATACCTTTGTCCAGGCTATATCACTGTTGCAAAGAGGAGACTCTTAACTATAGTGTAGTAACTCTGTCCAGCTGTCTGTATACAACCTCAAAACAGCAGCAACACTGCATTGGAACATGGATAATGAAACCTTCTGAGGTTTTAGGATCTGGTTCTAACCACTTTTTACTAAAATAATAAAAAAAAATCACTCCACATTTAGGCAATAAGTTGGGAAGGCGAGCACAAGAGTGTGCTGTCTACTAGTATATTGCTCAGGAAAGAAAGGTGGCCAGCTTTTCAAAATGGAAGAAGTTTCAGGGATTTCTGCAGAGGAAACTATGAGGCAGTTTAATTTGAGCCGTATGATGACACAGAGCAGGATGGCAACCAGGGCCCTGGTGTTCAGCTTGATAATGCTGTAATATCTAAACTTACTTGGGGGGTGCTTTTATTCCCCCTCGTATGCATGCATGTCTTTATGTATGTCTGTGTATTATCTACACTAATAAAATAGAAAGATGCAAATTGACTGTACCTTCGTGATGCCCACCAGCCAATCAGGAGTGAGTATGCAAATTAACCCAACAAAGCTGGTGGGTTAATTTGCATACGCAGGCACCGAGCGGCCGGGGGCAGGGCGGAAAGCTTGCATAGTCACCATGGTGACGACATAGGTGTTCCACACCGCCCCAGCCGCTCCTGGCTTCTGGGCAGTGTGGGAAGGTAGAAAGGCAGCTCCAGGCCTGAGCAAAAGGCAGAAAGGCAGGTCCGGGCGAGCAAAAGGCGGTGCCGGCAGCCAGAGGGAGGAAGGCCCATTCTTGCACGAATCTTTGTGCATTGGGCCTCTAGTATTAACATAAGAATAAAAAAATCAAGTTTGAAATATACATGGTTCCATGTTCTTAACTGGGGAAGTAGAACTATCTGAACAAATAAAACAACATGAAAAGCATAAAAGTAGCACTTTGCTCAAAGGGTAAGCCAACATGTCATCTCCATGGGGGATACAAAAAATAGTTTCCAGAAGAGCTGAACTATCTAGCAGCAGGTGGAGATGCAAAGGCTGATGGAGATGGTAGTAGTGTGTATGTTCTAACACCCTGAAAAACTGTTTTTCTAAATAGTGGGATAATTTTAACTGAAATATAATGGTTTCCCTTCACTTTCATCAATCCCCCACTGAAGTCCTGCAAGGATATCTGGCCAAAGGGATTTCATCCAGATAGTTTGAAAGGATTTGCAATGAAAAGGAGCCAGCACATATGGGCACTGGAACATAAATTTGGCTAGCTATCCTGCCCTAAGCACAAGCATTTTGGATGAATATTTGTTGGAAACAATTTTGGGGTAATGTTTTACAGTGGAACAACTGTTTAATTGAATTAAATCGTTGTCCTGTTAGGGCATGCTCAAATAAAACATTTGATATTGGAAGTATGACTTTATTTAGAAAACTTTGCAGGACTAGATATTCCATAGTGATATTTTTAAAAATGAACATAAACTTTTAAGTTGGTGTATTTCAACAACATGTAATACATTTTTTGGAAAAAAATTATCTTATTGTGACAACTTAAATACCTTTGCTGTCTGATATGCATAACTTAGTATTTGTTAGTAATGTTATTCGTAAGGGCACTCTTTGGTTCTAACCATTTGTAATGGTTAGAAATGAGAATTCTGAATTCAAATAACCTGGCTTTTTAATGGTGGTTAAAACAGTTTCTAAATGAATGACTTTGTGTAAGTGATTTAACCTTCCTGTAGAAGAATACAAGTATTTATTTTACAGAGTTGATATAACAATTTAATCCAGTGGTTCTCAACCTTCCTAATGCCATGACCCTTTAATACAGTTCCTCATGTTGTGGTGACCCCCAATTTCATAGTTTCAAATTGAACATAATTAAAGCATAGTGATTAATCACAAAAACAATATGTAATTATATATGTGTTTTCCAATGGTCTTAGGCGACCCCTGTGAAAGGGTTGTTCGACCCCAAAAGGGGTCACGACCCACAGGTTGAGAACCGCTGATTTAATCAATTCTTATATTGAAACTCATTAGGACACTGACTCTGTTTAGCACTAAACAGTATAAGATACAAGAACCAATAAATATAATATACCATTAGCTATTTTATCCTTGTTTTTGATCTATAGAAAGCTAGACCTATCCCCACAGACACTCCTTTTCTTTTCTACTTGAAAGGACAATTAAAGAAAAAATTAAAATATTCGATCTTCAGCTATAGAGGAGGGTGCGTTTCAGGGCAGGCTCACTGGGCAATGAGGAGAGAACTGTGGGAGTTGGATAGCCTGGGGGCGCAGCTTTACCGAGCAGTATGATGACACAGAGCAGGATGGCCACCAGGGCCCCGGTGCTCAGGCCCGCGGCCAGGACCAAGGCCTGCGCGCTGCACGACTGCATGTTTCCTTGCTGGTCACAGGCGCACACCCGGATGGTGAGTGTGCCAGTGCTGCTTTGAATCGGATAATCGTTGTCAAAGATTAAAATGGGGAGTAGGTAGGTGCTCATTTTGTGGCGGCTGTACCCATCTTTTCGAGTCATGATCCCTGCTGTGTTATCTGCGGGGGAGTAAAAGGTGGAGAGAAAATAAGTCAGATCAGTTTTTAATTTTGCATCTTTAGGTCTCATAATGTTCTGTTTTCAAAAGTGCTCTGTACCTTTGTTATCGACAATGGTGAAGTTTGGATTGAGGGGAAACTCGGGCACTGGTTCAAAGAAGAATTTGTGGCCTCGGGGAGGGTCATCTTTGTCCATGACGCTGACAGTCTGAATCAACTACAACAAAAGGCATTAAAATAAAGCCCAACAAAAAGCAGCTCTTGTTATCACCAGGCATTTTTTAATAAGTGTTTGTGCTTTAAATATATCACTGAAATTAAAGAAACAAAAAAATATACAATCTTCAGAAAATTATGCCAAGGTTTTTCTATGGTTCTCGCTCATGCAGCTGATTCAGTTAAGAATAAAGTCTCCATCAAGTATTCGTTAACAGGGCATCTCTATGCATTGTTGTCTGATTCCAGGCCAGTGCAGTGCCCAACCTTAAAGAAAAATGTGATCAGTCCAACTCAATCCACTTTGAACATTTTTAGAAAGCACCAGTCTCTTTTGTTATTAATTGGTTACCAATCTGTTGTCTACACTACATAATGGTGGTTTCAAAGGCAGAGAACAGATGCATTAAAAAAAAAAAAAGTAAGTGCTTAGTATAACCACCTTCTATAGACTAAAAACACTATTAATATAGTTTTGGAAAATGAGCAGTAGGTCATATAATATCAGAAGTCAAAACATTTTAAAGCTATGGGGCACCATCACTATAATCCTACTGCCTATTTTATTCAAATTATTTAGCTTTCTTTTTTTTAAGTATTCTTTTTTTTTTATTGTCTAAAGTTTTACATATGTCTCCTTTTTCCCCAATTGACCCGCTCCCCCATCCCTTCCCAGCCAGGGCAAGCCCCCACCGCCCCAGTGTCTGTGTCCATTGGTTGTGCTAATATGCATGCATACATGTCCTTTGGTTGCTCTCTAACCCCCCACCCCTACCATTTGTCTCTAGATCAATCTATTCTTGTTCATCAACGATTATATTTAGCTTTTTTTTAATGGTATTTGAAAAGTTTAAAACGATATAATACAAATAAATGATTCCACAGTTCTGTAAAATCAATGTCAAAGTGGAGAAAGTACAGAACTTCTTAGCTATGCTCCCTGTAAGACAGGGCTGTGCTGGAGTGCCTGATTAGAGCAGCAAAGGACAGATTGGGCACAGAAGTTCCACTGAGCACTGTATGGTGGAAAAGTCACTAAGCTACACATCGGGGTGCCTGTTTTTCTAGTACTGGGCATGCCATCTGTGCGATTTGAAATCACAGTCATTTAATTATTCTTATTTTCAAATATCTCCTCTACAAAAATAAACAGTTGCACCACCTCCAGGTAACATCCTATTCTAGGTACTCACTAGTCCAATAGTTTTCCTCTATACTTTGATGTTAACCATAATTTCTTTCGTTTTGACAGAGTGACATGTAGCCTTATGTATTTTTTATGTAATGGTTCTCAAAGTGCATGATTATTAATACAAACTGAACCCTATGTTTCTCTTTAGTAGACTAGAGCGTTACACAGAAAAAATGTACATGAGTCTTAATATTCTTGCTCAATATCCGGTTGCAGAACAGCTGAACAATATTTAAAATTTAGTAATATTTTTAATCATAAACAACATTGGTCCTTTGATTATATGACTCTGAGATTTTTAAATTAGATGGACCACTGTTTAAGCATATTTTAGAGAGAATACATATCAGTAGCTTAAAATATATTACATTTTCTTATTTTGGCATGGAGTCCATAATAAAAACAATTTTAAGAGTCATCTTTTTCAGATCACTGTGACATTTTTGGAAAAAGGAGATAAAAATGTGACAAGAAGGGCTGACAATAGATTGCATGAAAAAAAAAAAACTTGTGCAAGTAATGCAAAGTCATCTGCTTTTGTGAAGAGGAAACAGTATTTTTAAAGTTTATAACAACTTTGTTTACCTGCCCAGGTTTTGCATTTTCACAAACAAATGTTTCATAGTACATGGCAAATTCCGGAGCATGGTCATTTATATCTAGAATTCTGATGAAGACAGGAACGTGGCTACTTTGTTTTGAGTTATCTGCAACAAGAACATATATAAGATTTCAGTCTCATTCACAGAGAAGCGGTGACACCACTCTTGCTATTTGTAACTTAGCAACAGATCTTTTCTGTGGTGTTCACTACTTGATTGGACTGCTGATGGATATCTCAGCTTTCTTACATGGTCCAGATGGAAAATATGATAAAAATAGGAGAATATGATTGATAATAAGCCATTATTTGTAAGAGATCATTTTCTTAGACTGTTTATGATGTTAGATTATATTTCTATCTTGTAGTAAGGTATGCAGAAAATCAAGTTTAAAATAGATGAATATTTGATAATCATTAAAACAAGTATAAAATCTAGGCATTCTAAATCATTTCTCTAAGAAATTTCTAATGATGAAATCATTCCCCTCCAGAAAAAGTTTATTTAATGCCATTATTTTACTACTTTGGTGAAAATACTGTGTTAAATTGGATGCATGCTCAACTCACTTATTTCTGTGGCTATAATGGTGATGTTGTGCCATGGAGATGATTCCCGGTCAAGGGGTTTTAAAGTGAAAATAGAGCCATTTTCTGGGTGGATACTGAAAATCCGGTCCATATCAGTGTGCCGATCAACAGAGTATCTAAAAGAAAAGAGACTCATGAATCCAAGCATTGTTTGAAGATTATTAGTTCATCTAATATTTCTTAAAGTTAGAGGCGATTAACAAAATGTTCTGATCAAGACATGGTCAGTACAATGCTGAGAGCTGTTTTGAATTTTTATTTTTAAAAGTAACTGTCATTTAGACAAAAACAGATCCAGAGACAGAGAAGCATTGATCAGATGCTGAAACCTCAGAGGGAAGGTAGGGGAGGGTGGGGGTAAGGGGGAGAGATCAACCAAAGGACTGTCCATCTGCTAGTAACATAAATCCAATGGAATATTATTTAGGCACCTCATATACATCATATCGCAAAACAAATTCATTATCTTTCCATGAAAGCTATTTCTACCTCTCTATGCTTTGTTTTTCTTTTATACTTGTATAAATCTATATATATAAAAGGCTAATATGCTAAGTGTCCCTCCCACTGTCCGACCAGTCACTATGACCCACACTGACCACCAGGGGGCAAACACTCAACACAGGAGCTGCCGAGCTACAGTGACTTGGCAGCGGCGGTTCTTGGGTGACGCACACCAAAACCAGAGAGGAGGGAGCCCAATTCCTCGTGGGGCAATGTGATTCCACCTTCAGCCATGGGTTATGTTGTTGCTGCTGCACTGTTGGCCTGGAATCTGGTTTACTGGACACTTGCATTTGCGTTCCACTCCCTATATGACAGCAACTTTGCAGAGTGCCCTCTTGCACTCTGGGACCCCACGAGGGATGTCGGAGAGCTAGTTTCTGTCTAATCCCCGCAAGCTAGGCCAATGAAGGACCCCACCTCCTGGAGGGACTCCTGCTCATTCTGCAGACACCAGGGAGGGACCCTGGGAGGTTGGCTCCAGGGTGTGTCTGGCCCTTCTCGCTCAGCCCCACCCCACCGGCCACTTTCTAATTAATTTCCTTTCAATGTGCATGAATCGTTCACTGAGTCACTAGTATGATATATTTGGCTGTTTCCATTATTACAATTCTATGATTATGTGTACTTTGTTAATTATTTATACTCAGGAGCCCTTGTGGCAGCTTTTAGTAAGTTTTTAATTGCACTTGATTTACTTGTTATAGTATAGACCTATGCAATACTTGAGAAATACTAAGCAGTTATATTAAACTTGGGAGAGTCAATTGCATTAGATAAATAGGAATTATGTTTAAGAGAACACATAAGAACATGTGTCCACAGAGTCCTTATGAGCATAAATGAATGTGGAGAGGCTGTTGTAAAAACATTGCTTTTGAATGACTATTCAAAGAATAGAACTGAATTGAATATCTTCCTCCAATCTGTCTATCTAATCTATTCCAAATGAAAAGGAGATGACATTATCACAGAGTTCTATGAATATTTCTCATTAGTCTAGATATGAAAGATGTCACCTTGAAATTTGTATCATTCTATGGTTGGCAAAATAATGTCACTCCCTAAATGATGTCCATCTCCTTATCACTGAAACCTGTGATTATGTTACTTTACATGGTAAAAGTTACTTTGAAGAAGTGATTAAGGTTTAAAAAATTCCCCTAGCTGGTTTGGCTCAGTGGATAGAGTGTCGGCCTGTGGACTGAAGAGTCCTGGGTTCAATTCTGGTCAAGGGCACATGCCTGGGTTGCGGGCTTGATCCCGAGTAGGGATTGTGCAGGAGGCAGTCGATCAGTGATTCTCTTTCATTATTGATGTTTCTATATCGCTATCCCTCTCCCTTCCTCTCTGAAAGCAATAAAAATATATTTTTAAAAAATTGAGATGGATATTATCCTTGATTATCTAGATGAGCCTAAACAAATCACATTAACCCTTAAAAAATAGAAGAAAGCAGAAAAGTAGAATGTTAACTAATATCTACACTAATAAAAGAGAAAATGCAAATTGACCATACCCCCGTGACACCTACCAGCCAATCAGAAGTGAGTATGCAAATTAACCCAACAAAGATGGTGGCGGCCCTGCCCCCCAGCCACTCTGGGCCTCTGGGCAGCACACATACAGGCGTGGAGGAGTGGCCAGGCTGGGCGGGACGCCTCCTATGAGGAAGAGGGCAGGGGCGGAGGGAGCTACAGGAGTGGCGCTCTGGCCACAGCAAAGACTGAAGGCTCCACACACAGCAAAGACTGAAAGCTCTGGCTGCAGCAAAGACTCTGGCTGGAGCGAAGACAGAAGGCGATGGCCAGAGCGAAGGCCTGGGTCCTGGGTGACTGTGGAAAACCAGTGCCGGCAGCCAGAGGAAGGAAGGCCTATTGCACAAACCTTCATGCAATGGACCTCTAATATTTATATATAAATCACATGGGAATCTTGCCAAAAACAAATTCTGATTCAGCAGGTCAAGTGTGGGAGCTAGGATTCTAACAAACGTAGATGAATCTCATGTGGCATATCCATGGACAAGGTTTGTACAGCACGGTGACATACCATGGTATAAACAGGATAGGATAAAAAGCGAACACTTACAGACAACTAACAGACTAATGAGCATCTGGTGTTCTCTTCATTTTTCTTGGTATCTATTAAAAGCACTTAACACATGAACTCCTTTTTAGTCTGGTGAATTATGGAATTATAGTTCCCATTATAAATCTGTAATCTATTTACTATCAGTCATTGACTTTAACAAACATAAGTAATATATATTTAGGTTTCTAAACATTGGCAATTTTTAAACATTGGATGAAGATAATAATATGTGTTTTTGTTTGTTTGTTTGGGTTGCTTTAATAAAGAACATGCAACTTAATGTATTAGTAGATGAATTATGCTGAATTTAAGGCATATGTTAGTAAACTCAGATTTCAAAAATGATTTAAGCAATTGAACATAGTACATATTGGTGCTTGCCTAATTTTTTCCCACTAAAATTTGTAAATGATTTATTCAGACTAACAAATATTGCTTCAAAGTGAGTTCTTTCTGTACCTCAGTCCCAAAATGTGGTATCAGGTCAATCACCTTCTTGTCATTCTTCTAATGAAATAGCGGCATGAAAATGATAGTATTCCCATAAGTTTTCAACAATCACAATTGTAATTTTCCAACATAATTATTATAACAATATTTGGGGGCGTTTGAAAAACTCATTTGACATATGGTAACTGCACAAGAGTGGCTATATTTCTGAGGTGGAAAATCCTAGGTAGAGGATAATCGCAAAAGCTCTATTAGTTTTAACCAAGACTTCTTTGTCAGACAGGAATCTGAGATAGGTCTTATTTGTATGATCTCTATTAATGTACTAAAATTGAGGGTGACAGTCATATAATTTTAATCTGTTTCTTAATAGTGCTAAAATGAAATCAGATATAGTGTTTATTTCTAGTTGTCAACCCATTTACAATTTAGTTCCTAATGTGGGCTGAGAAAATCACTGAAACATTAAAAAATGGCTTACTAGTGTTTTCCTTAATTCTGCTTATGAATAAAACAATCTGGAATGAAAACAAAGACAGCAAAGTTAAACAACATAGTCACATCTACTAATATGCATTGAATGGAACTCAATGCATAATATTCACCTACATATATTTATCTCCATTATTGGAAAGGTCAATAGTTAAACATTATCTGCTTATAGCTGAATAGATCTTGGATTTCTTTCTACTGTTCACAATGAATATCAAAGAGGAAAATAAAAATCCCTTTGTGCCCACTGCTACTTGCCCTAGACTAGAGATTAGTATGACAGTTTCTATGACTGAGGAATAGCTAACTGTTCTAACATACAAATCTAGCTTTGACACAGTTGGATCTTATGTGGAATCAAAATAGGTTGGAATATTGGCTGATCTACTTTTAGGTTCAAACTTGAAAAGTACTGTTTTCAAGTTAATTCATGAAGGATTTAGAAATAGCTCAGTTTAACATTAACGCTGCAAACTTTCAGGTCTATATTCAGAAATTTGTCCCAGTGCAAATAATGTCCTGCAGTTTTTCAAAGCCCAGGGATACGTTTTCTCTTCTTTAGCAACCAATATTCTATATTCTATTTTCAACATTGAATAGGCTATTCTGGTGTACCTATTAAGAATAAATGCACCAGATTACAACAAATGACCAGAAAGAACCGATAAACGTCTTCTACCTAGGAACAAAGCGATCTCTGTGTTCCAGCAGATTGCCTATTAAAACAACATTTTATTGATCTCCTTACATTGAATTTGAACAATAATTTAAACAAATATTATTGGCATAATTTTTTAATGAATATCTTCTGCAGGGACAGGATCCAATCATAAAGGCTGAGAATAGCAAATAAAAAGATTATAAGAGAACTGAGCTTGCAAAAGCTGAAATCTGGTTTCGTTGGTTGCTCTTTGTTATGTTGTATTGCTTTATGTTTGTTTTGTATGTTCTACCATTGACAAGTACACTTCAGATCCCTATATTTACATCTAATACAGAAAAGTAAATTAGATTACAGACACCAGAACAAATTGATAATATGAAGAAATATGTCAAAGATAGCATTCCTTTTTCTTTACTGAATTCCAGGCACATCGATGACCAACTGTCCATATAATTAGGCTGTGGCTCTGCTCTCTCCTTCCCAGCTACTGCTTTTCAGAAATGTGTTTTCTGGTTATGAACTAGAACAAATAGTTCAAATCATTGAACAAATGTTTTATATGTTTGAACAAATAGTTTAAATTTTTTTCAGATATTAGTGACATATTCTAATTATTATTATTTTAATCTGCATAATAAAATCAGCAAGTACTAGGGAGACACATATATATGAGTGCACTTCTTCACTTATTCTAGCTTATGGTGGAGTCATGTATTTTTTTATTGAGGCATAACTAATTTATCATTACAAGTTTGTTTTGGACTTACTCTCAATTTGACTTCAGTAAAAACAAAAAGAGTTCTTCAAAAATTCATTGAACTTTAAATACGTTCAGCATTAAATAGGTGTGAAATGAGACCTTTTTTTCAGAACCTGTAAAGCTATAATCAACCCTATAACTTGGGAATCCATGATTACTAATGAGGTGAAGCAGAGCTAACAACAGCTGTTAATTGTACCCATAATCACATGTTGCAAGTGGCAGATGTATTTCAGAAAATATGTTTGATGAACAGATTTACTGGTGGGTGAGAATTAGTTCCCAAGCTTTCCCTGGAAAATGTTTCTTCATGATGCTTATAGCCTATTTCTGCTCTGGGGATCAGTCATCCTCCTAAATGCTTGGGATGACAATGTTGCCTCCTTTTATTGCTGCATTTTCACACTATGATTGGATCTCTAAAGCATTTATTTCATACATTTCTATGCTAACAGAAAGCAACCTATATGCTATATTTCCAGGATGGCTTTATACTTTGGCAGACTTAGCAGCATAATTTTAGGAACATGATTTCAGATTAATTTGTTCTCAATATTTTTCTTCTGTCATGATTCTTTAGATTTTACAGGTAAAATTGCTATTCATTTTTTTTCAAGAGTTGATACCACATAAAAAGCAAATGTTTCTGGGATAGCTATGAACTTCAAAAATTTATCAGCCACTTTTATATACTGTGAAGCAAGGTTGCAAATTTCACTATTAGTTTTTGACCCAGAAATTTTACTCCTAAAAAATGTGTCCTTGTGATGTCTG